CGCTAGAGAAACCGCACTGCCTACCGAGTTCTGACCTTTGTTAGGAGAAGTACAACCCTTCCTGTGTAGGCTATGCCGGAATCTTAGGAGCTCTGTTTGCGGTATAGAGAAGGATGGATGCGAAATGGGGATCCCGAATCACAAGGTATTAAAGTCTTGATGTTTTCAAATTGAGTTGAGGTTTTAAGTATTTCGTGTAACATTTATAGCGTGAATTTGTGACGATATAATTGGCACTATTAACCTTCATTTATAGTACGTATGATTCTAGTATTATTTAGTATTAGTATTTAGTCTTCTATTTTATTTTCAATCGTTCCATACAATTTTCACTATCTGCCACGAAGAAACGTTTCTACAGAATTTTTCGCTACGAACTAAAATAATTCGAGCCTTAATTCTGTCGCAGGAAAAAATAAAATTTTCCTCTCCAAATTTTCTTCTCCGTTAACGTGCCTGCACCGCCATCTATCTCCGATATATTAGCTCGATTTCTACTTGCCATAAACTATTTTCAATTAATAATCTATGACCAGAGATCGACGATTTATAAGCACCGAGATTGTTGAAAGTTCACGCGCTAAGACGATTAATTCGTTGTCGGCGTTTCGACCGCAGAGCTCTCGTCGCGCGGCTCGTTAAACGATGTAACCGACGAGCGGATAATTCGATCAAGTAATTCAGAATAATTGGCTGAGCAGAGGCGCGAGCCAACTTTGGCCTGTTCGCAACAAATGCAGTAATAAGAAAGCTTGGACCCGGGGCCAACGGTCGGATGCAATTAGCAGCTTCGAATTGACGTCGTTAGATTAAGAAATTTCGTTTACTGTCGTCTCTGCAGACGCTTGTCGAAATGGAGAACAATGAAGAACAATTCGACAGCAGATGTTCTCGACAAAATCGAATGAATTGTTCCATGATCCTTTGTTCACTGTGTTGAATTCTCACAGATTTATGCGGGGAATTTCTATTAAGGATATAAGTTCAAATTTATTTTGTAGAATTTTATTATTTCATAATACTAATTGATTGGATGAATAGGGATTTAGGATGAGTTGGAATGAAAAATATTTCACTTTTGAAATATACCGTATATAGATAGATTAGAAAAATCTGCTCTCTTTATGAGCAGCACATAGCGATTTGTATTTCTGTGTTTGAAAATAAATGAATATCATTTCTGGCCAAATAGCGAACACCGAATGGCAAAGTTAATGGTCGTGGGTACGCTATTTATGGCTTTGCATTTGCAACGCGTCCACGTCGTTTATTGCGTTTTTGCGGGTAACGCAAACATCGTCTGTAAAATGTCCCGTAGATCTTTTACTTAAATGTTCCACGTCGTCCCGTCAATTGCTATCAAGAAATCCTATTTAACTGGGCATAGTGTCAGAAATCTCAAATCAACCACGCTCGATACGAAAGAAATTTCAAAATATTTCGCATCAAAATCCAATCAATTTCACCGATATAATTCAGCGTGACTTTTATAAAAAGAAACGAAGAAGAAAAGACAGGTATCAGAATCCATCAAAACGGGTGCCTATGAAAGAATGCTTTTATTTTATAACCAGAAAACCGTGACCCGTTCGAAGCAATCCTTTCGAAGGATCCACGAAGAAGTTGCACAATCGGCGAATTAGATTCTCTATTCCACACGGCTCGAGACGGTTCGTTTTCGAGCGTGACGGCGAAGGAGAAAACGAGGAAATTGAATTAGAACAGCGGGGATCTCGGGCGAGACGCGCGCCTCGCGCAGCCACGTTGAATTAAGAATTTACTCGGGAAGTTTCCCCTTAAACAACCGGGCCAGCCTTCCGTTCGCGCTGAGGAACGTTGGATAGCTTCTCCCCGAAAACGAAATAAGAGTATCGCGTGCACAGCTCCGTTTCTACGTTCTACGTTCATCTTCCATTCTTTCTTCCTTCCTTTCTTTCTTTTGTTTGCAAGAACGACAACAAGAAATTGGAAAAACCACGAGGAAGAAAGGAGAGAGTTGTAAATAAAAGAAGAGACAATGGGGACAACGCGCAACCGCAATTACCAGATTAAAGTCAAAGTGCTCTATCTAAAGTCTATGCTTTCTTTTGGAGTGAACGTTGAACGAATCGGAGCATCGACGGTGTATGCATAGATAAGGCAGAGGAAGGAGCAATTTCTTCATTGAGAGAAGTTCGAGGAAAGCATAAAACACGTCGTTGTTGTGTGCTTCCGTGTTAGAACAGGGGAGCGTGGATTTATTCAATCTCGTCACCTTTCACATTCTAACAACCTGACCTGGATTAAGGAAGTGACGGAATAAAGACAAAGACTGGCACGATTAGCAGATTGAAATTAACGAAGTGTTGTACATGTATTATCTATATTATAAAATAATCTGTTATATATATTACGATAATTCGTTAATCAGGAAGTTAGCGTTGATCAAATAAATTCACAACCGCGAAAGCTTTCAAACACGATGCCAAAAATATTCAATTATCTTCATAAAGTTATTTGCATAAAAGTGTCACGCAAAAGTGAAACAACATGAGAAGAAAAATGTGGAGAATCTCTGGAAGTTACAAAAAGATATGGTTCATATTGTTCCATATCGATCTCATAAAATCGAACTTTAAACATACTGTAAACGATTCTCGATCCTGGTCGTCATCCTCGAAAGAAGCGTTGAGTCATCCATTCTCCATAAAAATGACACGGAGAGAAATCGCGGTTCGGTCGCGAGAAATATTATTTACATTCCATCGAGTAAGCAAGCGACGGGACTGAATTTCAATATCGAACTTTCACGAGACGAGTGTTTGGAAACTCGTCTGCATGTAGAAAGAGTCTCGAGAATCGGCGTGTGTGTACATTCCGGCGCGTGTTCGTCGCGATTTGTCTAGGTACGTATCCAGTCTCGTTCTCGAGACTCGAATCAGTCTACTGGAAAAGCCATGGATCGAATAGGAGCCGATTCAGAAAATTCTGCAAACCAACTGCTGGCTAGAGGATCCCGTTAAAACCAGAGAAATCCGATGAAAATGTACGAAAAATTCGGTCAACATTCGAGATGCCCAAAGATGGGGTGTATTAAAAGCGAATTGGAGGAAATATTCGGGGGATTTTTCCAGACTGCAAAGGGACAATAAAAGAGATTGGACTATAAATGTCTGTTGAATAAAATGTGTTCCTCGAAAGGCAAAATTGCTATGTTAAGAAAAGCTAAAGAATTAGACTAAAAGGCGAAGAATAAAAGCAAAAGTTGATCGAAGAATTTTAAATACCACCGGTTAGATAATGTTACCGTTATTGGTATTAATTGTTCCAAGGAGCATAAACTCGAAATCCTAGTAAGATCTTGGAAGAGCGGACAAAAGTCACGGTAACGATGCAATTGCTGGCAGGCTGTAGAGCCACGTTAGACTACCCCCATTTTGGGGAAAGATCGCGAGTAATCCTTGCTCTTTGCTGCATCAGCAGATTCTGCTTGCGGAACGATGGGGTCGAACCAAATCTGCAAACGCAACTTCAAGAATCGGCGTTGCTTCTTCCAGACGAGGATCAACTTCGAACCAAGGGTTATTTACCCCCTCTGATCGTGCATAGTTTTTAACTTTCCTCTTTCAACTTGCTTAAATTGAACTTTCCTTACAGGGACCATCGAGAATCATTGTCAAATCCATTGCATGTACATTTCATTTAGAATTCGTCACTGACTGGTCTCGTTAAAATCTCGTCGATGCTGGAATGGTTTCGCACCCCCCAAGAAACTTACCCCCCACTATCAGCAGCAGCTGGAACAGGGCACGTCGCACTTTCCCGCACTTCCGTCGAACGTCTTTATCCATTCTGGGGATCCTGGTAGCGCTCATAGATCCTCGAACGACGATCATCGGCAATGTGGATGTTCTCCGCAACTTCCGTTCTCCGTTATTGCAACGTGGCGAACAGTGTCAAGGGACGCGAGCCGCGCGGGCAAATGTCATCGGGTCCACTCGACTCTGACTCCGTGGTTTCTGTTTCCGCGAACAGTTGGCTACGTTACTGTCAGAAATCTGAAGAAATCCGTGCACAAAAATACACCGCGACACTGAGGGGCGCGAGCGCGCTCGGACGTTCTCGCCACTCACACGCCACGCGGACGCGACAGTTCCTGACTTGCAACTGACGAGGGATGCTGCACGAAGAGTTTGCGCCAGCCTCGCGCCCGCGCACAGAATCCTTACTCCCCTGCACTCCTGGCACCCTAGGTCACTTAGTCACCCTTCCTCGCTGCCTCTTCTCGCTTCCACTATTCCAGCAACGAAGAGTGAAAAGAGAAGGAAGATAGTTTCTCTTTTCGGTTTCTTCCTTCTTCTTCCGCTGTACGCTATCCGCCTCTTCGTCGCCCTCGATATCAACACGCTCTCACCCTCCGCACGCTCTATGTGGCCACCTCTCTTTCTGCGCTCTTCCACAGTTGTTTCTTTCTACCATTGAATTTTCGACGATTCTATCTCGTTTTACCTGTGTTCCGTTACCGTGGACCTATAGGAGAGAGGGCAGTTCGTCTCTTTTCGGTTCGTTTTCACCCCTTCTTTTCCGCCGTTTCTTAGTTAGTCCTACCTTTCTGTCTTCGTCCCCTTCAGGCTGGCGCGCATCCTTTCGCTGGCTGTATCTCAAACACTAAAGAGATTCTTAGGAAATTGAATTGAATCCCAACCCCCCGAGCTACCCTCCTCCTCTTGTTATTTCTCTTCTTGTCCTACTGCTTCCAGACGCTTGTCCCTCTCGTTGTTCGGGCTCTGTCTGTCGGTTGTTTCAACCCTTCCCCCCTCCACGTTTATTCGTTCTCCTCTTCGTCGATCCGTCTTCGTCTCCTTTGCTCGTTCGTCACGTGACTCAAACTCTCTCGTCTTTGGATATCCTTTCTCTTTAACCGACCATCGTCACCTTCGCGCCATGGCTTCCACGGCGACTGATTGTCTCGCCGTTAAGCGGCAATTTATATGTTAACAGGGCCGATTCGGTCGAGAGTCATGCATACGTTTAAGAAAAGGGGTTGGCAATATAGAGGATGGGGAGGAAGGTCGCGTGACGACGTTCCAGGCACGACGATTCGCTCGTTAGTCGAGCCGACGATCGGCCCGTTCCACTGATAGCGATCTACCCCCATGCTTCCTCGCACCCTAAAGGTTATCGGCTACATGGAAATTCGAGCGAACTCCAAGGAGTACAAATAGTTCGACGAAAGGGGCTGAAGGGATTCGAGCGAGGTCTGAGATTTTACGATGGATTTCTTAAATCAAGGACAGACCCCTAGTGTTTTACTGTTCTAATGTTCGAAGATATCGAGAATTATTTATTGCGGACAATAAGAGAATTTTAAACTCTTGATCATTGTGCTAAGTGTTTAATCGATGCTGATCTATTAAGAACAATTCATATAGAATGTTTCTTTCTGTTCATTTATTTTATTGAATTCTCTACTTTTGTTCTTTTTTATTATTATTTTTATTGGATTTGTAAATTTTAAGAGGTTGTTAAATATTCTTTTTCGTCACTTCAATCCTACAACGTAATAAATGTTTGAAGAAGTTTTTATGCACAACTTTTATAGGAGTTTCATGTATACAGACATTTCACTTCATTTTCGGATGGGACGCTTCATTCTTTGAAACGAATTTTACGGTTTCGTAGGAGTAAAAGTGTTTCTCATTTAGCTCTTGACTTTATCTTCGTAAAATAAGACGTTCGTCGGTCGCGACCATCTCAGGCTAAGCATATTACTCGAGGGAAATAAAACTACGATGTGAAGTCGCGAAACGTGACCTTGAATTTCATTCGTGTCAAACGTCATCGATGTAGAAGATTGTGGTACGCACACGAGTACAGGAAGTTAAATTACAGGTGCACAGGGCGTGTTAACCGTGTAGTCAGCGTGGCGAGACACGTTCGTGGATCAAAGCTGAATCGACGCGTGCAGGCCAAATAGACGAGGCATTAGCGCGTCTTCATTGTTGAAATCGCACTTTGACACGCGTCCTTCCATTCACGGGGTTCTGGATTACAACCTGCGACCTACGATCTTATTGAAGACCTCTCAAGAAAGTTTTGCGGCTGACATTTGTATCTCGTAATGTATTTCTCTTGGACAATTTTATAGAAAGTAGATTTTTGTATTCTGAAATTTCGATAAATTATTATACGTTTCTCAACGCTATAACATTTCCGAAACTTTTCCCAACATTTCCCTATCTGGTCCTTAAACCAAAAGTTAAACCGAAGCTGTGAACAATCTTTCTTGATACTTTTCAAGAAATCGATCTCAACCATGTGATTACCGTTCGCATAACGAGACTTTGATCGTTAGCGAAAAAACGCGACACAGAGGATGGTTTTTGATCCAAGTGAGCGGGTGGTGGGCGAATAAAAACCGTGAATCCACGCGGAAGTAGAGGCATACGAATTGGCCCAACGTCAACCGCGAAGCAGGTATTTTCACTTGAAAAGCGGGCGGGTCGAGTGAAAATAACGACGGCGAACAGAGTCGTAAAAAGTTGGGGGAGACTAGCCCGTCGTGGAATTAATACTCAAAGCTCGATTCGAGCGGTATTCGCCGATTATAAGCGTAATTCAACCGAACGTTGCACCTCCTCTCTTGCTCTTTCACTCTCCTTTCCTTTTTCTTTCTGCTCCACTGGTTCTCGATTCTAACTACTTCTGGAAACAACCTGCTATCGAACTAATTAACTTGTCGTTGACGTATAAAGAGAAATTTTGGAAACATCTCTTTTTCACGAGAAAGTTGAAAAAAGATTTGTCGAAGAATATGGGATATTATCATTAGATAAATAAAGGATTCGACATGGTATCAAACTTGGAAATGTGACTGTTTCCTTTCAAAGATATACTTTCTAATCTTCGTGTTCTCTTTTTTTTATTAAGATATGTATCATTTTGTGTGCTAGACTATATTGGCCGCGTAGAAGTGACACACGTATGAGAATATGAGTGTGTGGAAGTATGTGTGTGCGCGGCGTCTCGAAAAACAGACGAATGTAACGGTTCCGTTGACAGTGTGGTATGGAAGATGGTGAGACAAAGAAAGTGCTGAGACGCGTGCAAATGTATATCGACGAAGATCCTGGAAATCGTTTATTAAATAAATCTAAAACTATTTTAATATGAATTCTAAGTGTAACCTTAGTGTTCCTTTACTTTTATTTCGGCAATTAAGATCCACAATTCTCAACATTTTTTTTTTTTCAAAATGATGCGAGATAACACGTCACACTGAAATCTGCATCCAGAAATCCTCGGTTCTAATCCGATTTATCATCGCAAATTCGAGATTACGAATCGTTGGACGACCAAAAATTGGGGAGAATGTAACACAACATGGCGGGTGATTCGCAGAAGGATTACCACAACCGCGAGGAGCATTAGCGTCGCGTATAGAATGGAGGACGGGCTACGGTGGAAAGGGTTCGGTTGAAACGCAATTTAATGCAATTTCTCGTTTAGTCGGAACTTTTAAAGTTGTTAGCGGCAGGTTGAGTGGCCCTTTCTCGTTTCCGCGATGCACGCATACGCGTTGCTACCCTCCCAAACCTCTCGTGAAGTGTTCTATTGTTCTCAACAGAGTTCGAGGTTAAACTTTTGAGGTTTAGTTGAGAACAGCGTGATTTTCTTTGCTTTATTGCATTCGGTATTTTTGCTAATATAACAAATTCTTCCACAACAATTTTGTTTTAATCATTTTACCCTGATAAAGCACTTGATATTTGTTTTTAATAATATGTAATCTTGTATTGAAAAATCTATTATCTTTTTAATTGGTTTGATAATATTCTCGAAACAATTACATTTTACTTTATTCAATGTACAACGTTCAGAAACATATGCAAGCTTACCTAGATTATTTCGGACTAGCTAAAACTCAAAACTAGAATCGGCAAACTTATAAAAAAAAAGGTTATATAAAAGAAAGTTCAGATTGGAATAAGTTTCGCTCTTTGATTAAAAATTTTCATTTTAAAGCAGGTTGTATAAGAGCCTCTCATCAAGTATATTTCATAATATCTGAGTTTATATCTTTCGGCAGAAAAGCTGAAATAATGTCTAAATTCTTGTCAAGCTTCGCTGTCTTTGCAACGATCTTTGTGTTTTTGCGCCAAGTCGAAGATGTCTTAGAAGTGCTTTAAAATTGGATCGAGTTTCCGTAATAGCGTGCAAAAGCTTGAAATTCTTTCGTTGGAAACCGCGTTTGGGGCGGGCACAGGAAACTTCTGACGATAGCGTGCTTTCCCGTCGACTAAATGAGACTAAACCGTCATTCGAAAAAAAAAGAAGTATGATTCACTTTGCCGCAGTCGAGAGGTTAAGAGCGGCGAGTTTAGATTCATTATGAAGTTTCACGACTTAAATGAGACAGTCGCCGCGAAGAAAGCAGCAGGGCTTGGCTTAAAGAAGTTAATTCCGGGTTCGTTGTCAACTTTTTCGTCGTTGCTACCGAACGAATGAATGTAATTCATGGAATTCTTATGGTGGAATTCCGTCTAACGTTGATAGCAGTTATTAATTTCGATCAAAGTAAATATTATGAATGAAAGAATGTTAATAACGAAATGCATTATCCATCGTTCTTTTCTATACTTTTCTAAAACGAAGGGCGATGTGCGAAAATCTTGTAAAATCCAGGACAGCGATATTTTTCAGGGATAGGAAAATATTGTATTGTGATGGCAAAAGTGTGTCGATCCCAACGACGTGGTATATAGATTAATAAACTGACTCTGGTAGAAAGCAGAAGCATATTTGTTTCAATCGTAGGTAACAGATGTTTTATATGTTACCACGTAATGTGAATACGTGTAATGCACACGATATTATACTAGAAGGTAATGGAATTGCAGAAACTGAAATTGTTGACATAGAAAAGCCAAAAATTGAACAGCTACGACGCATGTCCTCGTTTCAACTCGCTATGAACCCCTCGCTGTATATCAGCACGCGATTTGTATTCGAAGATTTAAATACAAGACCCGTAAATAAAAAGCGTACATAAATTTTAGCATACAAATTATTCAGAATCTCAAGTGACACCGAGTGTGATACTTTCTCTTAATAAAAGAACTTTCGCGTAACGTAGCCAGTAACAAACGAAGTTACTCAAAGCACAGATTCATCCTCCAGCAACC